AAATATAAAATGAAAAACAATATTTTAAGAAATTTCTGGACAGCATCTTCGATGCAGCTAGCGGATTAACCGGATTGTGTTTAAACGAAATATTGATTATTGCAGACACAGTAATGGATTTGAACAGTTGAAAATTAAACGTATTTGTATCGTTCCTTTTTTTCCCCCTTAAATTGTAAGACAACAGTGTTTAATGTGATTTGTATGAATTTTGGAAATTTATATTTAAACTAAGTTTCCGACATCTTTTTCAGGTATATTTGGAACGCCGGTATCCTAAGTCTTGTTTGATTTATCATTTGCAAACTTCTTTTGGACATTTGTGTTATATACTAAATGTGATATTTATATATACATATATTAAAATGTCATTCGATTAATCTGCTAAAATTATTATGTAAATGTGCTAATAGAACGACATATCAACATATTGCGAAGGAGGGTCAATTAAAAGAAACATTAATATGTTACTGAACGAAAAGAAATTTTCTTTTAATTTGACAGAGTATTAAACGAATATTCATTGTTAAGTTAATAAGTTTCATTGCTGGTGTTGAATTATTTTCACTTCTTCGATATGAATGTTCACAAAATTCTTACTAACAATTGAAGACATTCTTCCGATAAAGCTGATACATTTCTTGGAAAAGAAAATATTCTGTTCTATTCAATGATTGTTATTACGATAACGTACAATATTTTTTAAATAATAGAAGTCAAAGAAAAATTGTGTGCCAGCCGCCGAAAGTATATATTTTATCAATTAGAAAAAGAAACTTTTCTAAATTAAGAATCATGGTATGTATTTAGAGAAGAAATTCACAGTAATGTCTTGGATTAACCGTGCATATCGTTGATCGGTACACATCTCGTTCATTCCAGTGATCGTTGTCAAAATATTATATTGACTAATATTGATGTGATATGTACCATATTATATCTGCACATTCTTACACTAACAAAAGTAAAAATAATAAGAGAAAATGTAGAATGTAAGCAGGAAGGCGGGAACGTACATTCTATCCCAGATAGCACACAGACGTCCTGTGAACGTCTTAACCACGTCAGTTGAAAGCCTGAGGATGTCCAAAGGACGTCTGAACGACGTCCAGTGTTGAAACGTATTGAAACACTATAGATTGGTTTTAAAAACGTCTTAACCCTTTAGAACGTGACGCATGTGACAAACAGTAGAAGTTCAACCGCGGCCGCAAAATCTTTGGTTTTGGTGTTCTAAAATTTCTAAAAAATTTTTAAATAACAATTCGAAAATTGAATTTTATAATTTATCGTTTCAAAAATTAAGGTGGAAGTGCGCGAAGAACAAGAATCGAGGCTTAAATTAAGGTGAAAGTGTGCGAAAAAACGCTAATAGAGTACAGTGGGAGAACATTTTCAAAACGCCTATAGGCGCCAACAGCACAGTAAAAGGGTTAAAAATGTCTTAAGAACATCATTTTTTTTTATATAGCATCGATTCATGTTTCTTCAAGAAGTCTAGATCAGATTGTAAGACGTTCGAATAAAAAATGGACGTACAATGGACATCTCCAAGACGTCGTGTGCTATCTGGGATGTTACTAGAGTACAAATTTTCGAGAGTGATTGCGAGAAATATTTATCCTTGAATTAATAAGAAGAAGCATCCTTAGAAATATATCTAATATAGGTATTACTATAATGTTTACAAAGAGAATAATGCAAATATATATGATTATATTTTACCAATATATCCTAAGGTTAAACTAATTTAAATTTCGCATGCTTTCTTTTATCTTTTAGCCTGTTAAACAAGGAATGCCATAACAATCAGTTTCTTGAAATCACAATTGATAACACTGAAATATCTTTTTTATTAGTTTGGAACCGTTTCATTGTTGAAACAAAAAGTGATTTCGTAATTAGCGTCATTTGAACTACACTTTTGCAAATTTTCAAAATTTTTTTGTATTTTCGGATTTGTCAGAAAGTACTCTGACTCGGAATAGGGTGGGCGTAAATTAGTTAAACGTTTCTACGTTTTCACAATAATATATTTTATACAAGAACTATGTCCACGTTATCTGAGCGTCGTTCGCAAAAAGTATATTTCAAGGATCTCGGGAAGAGTGAGGACGCGTCGTCCTGCCAATCCCTGTCCACCCCTACGCGAACAGGCCCAGGAAAAGACCCAAAGGGGCGGAGTCACCCCCACCGAGCGCGCTGGGCCTGGCTTCAAGTGGTTCGCTTCACCGTTTTCGGGACGGATTTTCTCACAGATTACTAAATTTCCCTCGTAAGATATAATAGAAAAACAGATAGTATATACTGTCAGAAGTATATGATAGAGGAATAGGCACCGCCTGGGAACTCTGAGCCCTTATCAGGGCGGCTACACTAATTGTCAGAAGTATTGTTTGTGAAATTGTTTCACGGCAGAAAAGAGCGACGAATGTCTGTATGCTACTGATAAATCTGGTAACTAATACGTTATGGATACCTGCGGACACCGACTGTGAAACTAAAAACGCTGACGGACAGCACTGACCTAGGTTACGACTCGCTGAATGATCAGATAACGCGCATGTGACAACTGATAGGGACGGAATGACAGCATTAACACGTTCAACTCGGGATGACCCACCGGTGGGTCACAAGCTGTACTTCTGCCTGGCGGCTTGACCCACCGGTGGGACACAGCCTTGAGCTTTCTGTTGTAATTTTTAAAAATATAAAAGAAGCAAATTTTAATAAAATTCATTGTAAATGTAGATTATAGAGGTGGAAACTTAACGACATTGCCCTATAATGGTATCTGTTTTTGGAAATGTTTGGAAAAGATAAAATGAATTTAAAAGAAAGGACATACGTAGTTCAACTTTTTCTAATCGTTTAAAATACATTTTTATTGTACATAAAAAGAAACAATCAGTAAAATATTAAGCTTTATGAAACAAAACGCCTGCCAGAAGTAGGTGCGACATAATTACATACCGACCAGTCAGCAGGCGCATGAAAATGGACTCCAGATGGAACGTGTTAAGGAAAGACTTTTAGAACCGACCATTTAAATGCGGAAGAAAAAATGTAACGCGTTATTTCTATTGGAAGGAGATCCGTGAAGATGTGCCAGAGGCGACGATCTCTTCGTAAGTTTCAAACCTAATATGTTCTAGCAATAGTCACTGGAATGCTTCTTTGCTAATCTTACAGGGAAAATCAGATACTACAGATATTCAGATATTTTCATAACACGGTTTCCATATAGCACGATTTAATAAACTTGGACAACCCTCGCGGCGTTCTCTCTCCTTCTTTATCAGCGATTCACAATGCGAAGTCTGTGCATCGTTGTTCTTTATGGAAACTAATTCAGTAGACGATTTCTTGTTAACAAATTCAGACGTATCGATATAATTGTTTAATAAAGTGACGGTAATTATTTACTTTAGGTATTCCTCGTCGATATTGATGATCTTGAAATATGTCGTCAAGGTCATCGTTCTGATCAACTTTTCTCTATACACGTTACTGCCGCTTGGCCTTTGTTTCCGAGATATTCATAAAAATTTTCTCGTCACTGTATATCGTATCTTCAACTCTTTGCGGTCGAACCCCGAGATATTCCCGGCAAGGCGCTTTTACCTTCTAAACGCTCTGTGGACCCTTTGCCTGCAGAAACGGGGGAAAAATAATAATATGCACACACCTCGTGCAAACTCATTTGAATAAAATTTACAAGTTTTTTAGGCTATAATTGACTGAACGCGCGCTGCCAAAAAATAATTCCGATCAATACGACTATCATGTCTACCCAAAACACGACTGCAAAGAGTTAATGTTTGGGATATGTTTATGGTAGCTCGGATTAGGTTTGAGTTAGGTTCTTAGGGAAGTGGTGCATAATAGTGGTTCACAATAATACAATTATAGACATAGTAACACAATTTCGTGACACTACATCGTTTGCAAACAGCCACAGACGAGTCGACGGCGATACGACTTCAGTTCAAGAATAGTTGCGTTTTTTGACATAATGGCTGAAATTTTTCCAATTTCTATTAATAATAGTTGAGAATCGCGCTTAATATGAAGTGTAGTTATATTTTTTTATACTAAACCTAGTCCAATCTCACTTAAACCTAACCCAAAGCTGACTCGGAAACTAAGACCAAGCGACGATAACGAGTATAGGGAAAAGTTATTCAGAATGACGACCCTAATAACATATATCATCAAAATCGGTGAGGAATACTCAAAGTAAATAATTACCAAAGTGACTTTTGTCCCGCTTAATTATTTTTAATTATCTTAGTTGAACAGCATTAATATTTTAAGTGTACAGGCAATTTAACTATAACACGGTTTCGATATAACAGGCAAGACGGTTGCCTGTATTAGGCCAACTATAATAATTTCCAAGGTTTTTAGTGGATGTGGCAGGAGGTTTCGATCCCCTGAGGTGCGTAAAAGCATTTCCCTACCTCTTCTATATAAAAAAAAAAGGAAGAAGTGTATTTATAGGACATGAATAAACTTGATAGTAATCTCAATCGTACAATGAATCCGAATCCACGGTCAATCATGCATTCCACGATCCCCTTGTGCAGAGTAGTAAATCGAAAATCGTTAGAAAATATTAGTTTCCATTTATTTAATATTCATTTACCGTAAAATTCACATCTTGTGAAATAGTTGAACTTATTTATCGAAGATTGTAATTTTCGATATCGGATGAAAAATGGATTTGAAAAACCCTTTTATTCGTTTATTTCCCTTTAAATTGTTTCTTATCCAAAAACCGTCGTTCAGACATATGTTTAATTCAAATTAGTAATAAAGCGATGCATACATTGTTATTACAATCAATTCGGTTTCAGAATTTTCTGAATTGCATTTCAATTCTTTTACAGCGTACTACTATTCTGTTTGTTGCACAGCAGCTTTCAGAAGCACTC